ATATTATAATGTCCATAGAATGTAAGGTTTAGATTTCTTATTTATTTAAAAGCAATTTTTCATTTCCATTTTGTTTACACTTAAAAGCCATGTAATATTAAAACAGATATACCTAATAATGTACACTTAATCCCATGTCGATAGATGTGTTTCATTATCAATTATAAATCCACATTATCAGAATAAATAGTAACAAACGTTGGTGTAGGGAAATTAAGGTATTGTATTATTTGCCATAACTACTATATATGTACATATTTATAGCATTGTAATTAATATTAGTCTGGTTTTCTTTTTAGTTCACACGAATTGGTATGTATGTATGAATATGTATGAATATGATTGTACAGTTTAGAACAAACCAATGATCCAAGGTATATCAAGAAATGATCTTGGGATAGATAAGAAACAGAGAGAGAAAAAAAATAATAATCACAATGAAAACCCCAGAATTTTCCTAAAAAACGTTAGATTAATTTACTTTTTAAGAGAAAATGTAACAATGATTTCATTACAAGAGTAATTTGTAATAATTAATGTATTGATATAATAGTGAATAGCTAGACGTAATCAATAGGACACTTTTAACTGAATTTCCGTTTTTTATTTTTGGTTTTTAGGTATTTAAGAATAAGAAATAGCTTCTAGAAAACTATATCAATTATCTATTAGCATGACGCCAGTGTATTGTCTTAATATAAAGGTGTACTAATTAACATTAAACCATCATTACATAGTTAAGTGAATAGTTAGTAAGAGAAATATGTTTCTGTAGTAGTAGTAGTAGTAGTAGTAGTAGTAGTAGTAGTAGTAGTAGTAGTAGTAGTAGTAGTAGTAGTAGTAGTAGTAGTAGTAGTAGTAGTAGTAGTAGTAGAAAAATCTGATAAGAAAAATTACTCACATTTATAATAATGAAAACAATTCGAATAGTTTTATGTGTGAGTTTTATATCGTCTGATATTTACTTATTTTTCTGAGGAAGAAATTGTAGTGACTTATAATAGGTGGGTTGTGTTTAACAGTAGAATCAGGACTCATCAGCTGGATTCACCTTTATCTTAGTGTTGATGCTTACACTAGGACTTGATCATAGTACTTTTGCTTCAGTTGCTCAACGCCTTAATCATTGAGCCACAATGTTCAGTTACTCGCCATCTTGTTCACGTTGTTATAAGTAAATGTTTTAATTCACCCATCGTTCAAATTGCCTTTCACAACTCCCATATGTATGATTGAATAACGATATACAAAATGTTAATATTCAGTATCATCCTATGATATCACGTCTGTCTTGGTGAAAAAGTGGCATTAGTCCTTGAACTCACTAACGCCTAGTCTGAGCCATGTTGGTAGATGCAGACTACTTGGTCAAGGTCCGCGTGACTATCGTAACCAATGTTCGGAGACCCTGGATGACATGGCCCCGAATCAATCACAATGGCATCGATTTATACACTCTTTGTCTTCCCTTAAACCGTAAGACTAAAATCGCCTCAAATCTTTCTTTCTACAAACTAATTCTTTCTTCCAGTAACATATTCTTATACACAATCTTTCTTCTATATATTAATACCATTGAAGTGACTACTTCTATGAATTCGGTGTTCATCTTGTTGTGCTAATGACGTATGGCAACTTGAACTAATACATATATGTTCCTGGTCCCACGTTGTAGTAAAAAGTGTTTCTACTAACATAGTTTAAAAACGCTATCTTGGTTGTGTAAAGTATTGACCAGAAAATAGTTCAGTAAGCTTTAAAGGTTAATGTTCTGAACATTAAAATTGAAATGTCTTATGTATCATTAGACAAGCTAAGGAATAGCTGAAGCCTGGTTATGAAACCCACTTTAAATAACTTTTATGGTTTGTACTAAAGTGAGAAAGTTACATGTTAAATGCAACTGATTCACTCAGTTCAATTTGTTTTTTGTTTTTTTTTAAATTTCCATTACATTTACCGAAACGTGATAGATATACATACGATTACAATAGTTCCATAACCTATATCTTTAAATTTCAAACAAAATTAAAAAAAAGAAATTACAAGAGAACCTTAATCCAGTGCATTACATAACCATTGATAATACTTACTACCTAAAACAGTTTGAAACATGAATGGGCGATAAAATTATACCTTTCAAAATACACTAAATGATCATTCAAATTAAGACTATTAATGACAAGTGTTGTCCATGCCTCAATATTCCCAATATTTAGTAATTGTGACTCTATTTATATATATTCTGAAAAGAATAATTACAAAATTCATGCCAGTCTACAGGAATTATCACCTTGATACGAATAGTAACATTAAATGTAGGGAAAACAATATGTGATATAAGATTGTTTTAAGTTTACTAATTCAAAAACTGTGTTATAACAATGAATTTCATCAGCTAGGAACTTTTAATTCTTCTTTAGTAGACATTCTGTTGATGTATGAACAATGTATCTAAGATCATTTCTTACGCTATAACGAATTTATTATAACTATGTTTAACTAGAGAAAATAAAGCAGAAGCAGAGATCATAGAAAAAAGGACAATAATTATTACGATAGGTTAGTTAAGTCAGGTTATTTTCTGATTTATCATTTGTGTTAGATATTATCCAAATTAGTTAAGGCTGCTAGGGACAGTGTTAGTGTAAAGTAACAGCAGGTAAGTGATTTTGCTTAGTGGATTCAGTAATATGAATGGCTAAACATTTAAAATTCTTATAATCTCACTTATGAAATAAGATACACTTACAGGTTTTAGAACATTGAATGCAATGTATTTGCTTAATTATGACTCTCACTAAAGGCTTGATATATCATATGTTTGTAAGCTTTCTTTGAATATCAATAACTTGAATGAGCTGTCGTCGGGTAGCTTCAATCAGTTGACCTATTAGGTAGAAAAAATAGTTTCAATTTGTTCAATTACATTGTTTAAAGTCTTCACGTTGTTAAAACGATTTTCTTCAAAGAAAATTTAATTACATTTGGAATATTGACTAGTTGTCGAAATATAAGGACAAACATTTCATCTTATTATAGATTTAGTGGTTCCTAAGTGTTCATATTCACAATAAAACTAGAATGTGGTACCAATCACTTAAAATCCTATATGATAATACATAAAACTACGAGATTCGATAAGACAATACATGTTTTACTCATGACAAAATAATTTATTTACAAAAACCTTCAATAGAATCTGTAGAATGTAGCTGACAATCAAAGTCAGGATACTTTTTTAGTCCTATTTAGAACTGATCAGCTGGATATATCTATATTGTGGATTGGACAACAACTCTGGGTGTATTCAGCTGATAGATCACAAACAAGATCAAATGAGCCCCACATTATATTCATTGTATGTAAACATGTGATATAATAGTTATTTCGATGCAACTGGACAGAATGTACATTCACCAACAAATACGAGTTAGAATATAAAGACTTTTCACAACAGGATAAACTAAACTATCTTAAAGTGAAATAAAATGTAGCAATCTCAATAATCCAAACGTTTTATACTACTTAAATTAAAATTTATCTAATAGTTGAATTCATGAGTCAAATAAAGCTAGATCACTATGGAAAACCTAGAAGCACTAGACAACCATTTCTTCCTAGTGCGAGACTTCTCAATGCACATCTACGACCCCTCTCGCCGGATTCTAACCATGGCGCTTTGACCTCTCACACGAGTGCTTAACACCTAGATCACTGAGCCGGCATCCCACAGTGTTCATGGCTAACTTCAACCAATGAATTCATGAATTCAACCATTAAATTACTACTATCTTTACAAAAACCCCACCTTTCTAATAAAAGTTTATTTGTATCAGAAGGGGTTTTGTGGAGATTTACGTAATTTCAGTAGTTGAGATCATGAGTCAATCGAAGCTAGAACACAATGGAAAACCTGGAAGCACTGGATGGCCGTATTGTCCTACCAGGTTTTCCATGGAAATTCATTTGATACAGAATTTCTATTTAAGAAGCTTTTAAGTTATCCAGTAAGTCACCAAAATTACCGATATAAAAAATACTATCACATAATTTCTCTTCGATAATAACGATCAACTTCTGCAGAATTCTATTAATATCAATGAAGAAGAAAATTTATACAGCGTTTATTCGACTTCTAAAAGATCGAATTTTGAAATTGGATAGTCAGACGTAGTCTACAATTTACTACATAACATAGTTTTTCGTAGTTTTCTGTACTAATCAAGGAATATAAGGTGAATTCAACATGTTAATTCATCTTACAAATGATTTTTGTTTATTGGACGTATAGGTGGATTACAAACATGGAACATAGTATCTAAATCTCGAAAAGAAATAGTAACAATTCAATGAACAAGTCAACTGTTTTATCCCTCAAATTTATATTTCACTCTTATACTACCGCCGTAATGACTATCACAAATATTTCATCACGTTTAAATGGTTATTGATAAATCGAAAATATTTATATTGTCTTAAGCTGATAAGAACAGCTATTCGCCGTCTTAGTTCTGTCTCATCGCGTTCTAACTAACGAGAATAATGTATATATTCAAACTAATAAATAATATCTGATATTATTGAATATATGCTCATTAGTGACGGTATCCGAGAGGTATTTATCTGGAGTTCTAGTGGGAAGCATTGACCAGTGGAGTTCAACCGGGTGAGTTGTGAGATCGTAACTCACTGATGATAATGTTGGATGTGTCGCTCAATTTCGTGGATTAGTTGAAGTTAGACATTAACATCGTTGGATACCAGCTAAGTGGTCTAGTTGTTAAAAACTCACGCTTGAGACTGATATGTTGTGAGTTCGAATCTCGTGAGGCGAAATCGTGGATGTGCACTGCTGAGAAGTCCTACAGTAGGACGAAACGGCCGTCCAGTGACTCCAGACATTCCATCATGGTTTAGCATCAACTGTCCCATGATCTCAACTATTGAAAATTTATTTATTTACAATTCATTTATTGTTTTATATTAATCATTTCTAGATCAATTAATTGAAAGTCTTGAATTATTAAAAATTCAATTAAATCAAACATTTTGTTCATATGAATTCATTATTAATAATCATTCCAATGACAATTCAACAAATTATACATGGAATTGTTGGTATCATATTATGGAATTAATATCGAAATTTCGTTTAATATTAGAACAATCATTTTTAACACAAGATGATATTATATTAGATTTAATGTTTCCAGTTGATAATTATTTAATGCAATCTCTATTAGAAACATCATGTCAAACTTATATGACGGATTCAAAGAATATACAAGCTGAAGAATTAGATGAAAAGATTAAGTAAGTTGATTTTTATAGTAATGAATGAATTTGTATGTATATGATGATGATGATTTAAAGAAGTGAATAGATAGCTTGAAAACTATGAAAAGTCATGAGGCATTACTCAACACATAGAATTAAACTGAGAACATGAATGTCTAGCGAAATTCTTGATCATTATGTGTTGTTTAATTTAGATATAGTTAATCTTAGAAAGTAATGGATCATTTTTTGATTTTTCTTTAACAACAAAAGCGGTAAGACTATATTTTATAGACGACCTTTGATCGACACCGAGGTAACCTTGAGAGTGTCTACCTACTTAATAGAGCTAAATGAAGATTATAAAGCAGTTTGAAGAATAAAGACAATGAGTTACAGTTGATGTTTACGGTTAGGATTTGAATTTACGCTTTTCATCACGAACTGACATCAGTTAAAATGCCACAACCCTATTTGGACGAATGGGCGAGTGAATTTTGCGCCAAAATTCAAGACCTGTTATCCTAAATCTGATTGGTTCATCCATAAATTATGTCTTGCCAATAAAAGCTTGATTATTTATTATGATTGAACTCCATAGTTATTTTTTACATATTTTGTGTGGCCTGCTTCAATATCTGGGCTTCCTGTTCTTGCCATCTGGATATTTAAACGAATTGCCTATTAGTCTCATAACCTATTCAGGTGCGTTTACAGCATTTCGCTATACAAGTAACAAAAGAGCTCAATCAGAGATATCGTGGTTGCTGGCTATATGCATTGAAAAAAATATACATTGTTCAGATGTCGATTGCTGAGCTGCTAACATCTAACTGGCGACCACTCAACATTAGTTTCAAGGATCGATCAAGAAATAGGAAAAGGAAATCTATTGAAATAATTTGTGCTAAGAATTCTATACTGCACCAAATATGGTATTGAATAAAGCCACTATTAATCATATAAAAAGAATATCTTTAGTTCATGATATGTGTTTATATTTAAAATAGAACTGTGACAAGCGATCTTTAAGAAAGATCACTCTATATTCACTAGATTTGAGGTAAATAAATTTAATAGAAGGAGTCTTGTGGAGAGTTTAGTAATTTCATAATTGAATTCATGAGTCCATTAAAACTAGACCAACCTGGTCAACGATGTTTCCATTTCGTGGATTGGTTGAAATTAGACATTAACACCGTTGGATGCAGGCTCAGTGGTCTAGTGGTTAAGCGATCGCACGCGAGACTGATAGATCCTGGGTTCAAAACTCGGGAGGCGGGATCGTGGATGTGCACTTCTGAGGAGTCCCGCAATGAAACGAAACGACCGTTCATTGCTCCCAGATCTTCCATGGTGATCTAACTTCAATTAATTCATGAATTCAACTGTAAAGAAACTTATTCAGTTATATATGGAAGCGTTTAATGATTAGAAATGAATTATTCCAAATATATCAGTTGGGCAACATGAATATACATTAAGCATTTCAATATACAATGATGAATGAACAACTGGGGAAAAAATAAACTAAATAAGTTATACTCATGATATTATGTTGGTATAGATGTATTCAATTTTTTAAATTCTAGAATATTCTATACTTTTTTAACCAAAGTAACAAATGGAGAGATACATTCTTAATAACATCAACAACAAAAACATGTACTCGTTTCTTATAAACTATAGTGACTATTAAAATGTAACCATACATGAAAAGTCCCTGTAATCTTGAGGAAACTGGTGCTCCCCGGCGGATTCGACCCGCGTCACCCGACTTCACAGTCAGACACGCTACCACTGAGCTATCCGGGCCGTGACCAACCACCTTGCTGACGAGTGCCAAGTAGCACGAAACTCGGGTCCAGCGTTTCCTATCGACTACCTCCAACCACCATCTAATCTCAATATATATAGTGCACGCAGTGTCGTGTCACCTAGACTGGTGGCCACATTGCAACATGGTCGATAGCATTCGATCTGCACTAAATAAGGACTTGACACACATGACATTAATCACCACCCAGTGATCAATCAACTGTGAATACATGAATAGTATTTGATTATAAATGTTTAGTTATGAAAACATTATTTTTGTTGTTATTGAAAAATCTGTTGTTTATGCACATATTGTGTGTTGTAAAAGATGATATGCCAATTAAATAAGTCATGTCAACCAGACTATTTATCGTTTTTTTGTTTTGTTTTCCAACTGATACCATGGAAATTTGTGATTATTTTTAGAATTAGTTGTTTTTTTGTTTATTTGTTAAGAAAGTTTCATTATAATTTTCAAAATTGTCATTGATTTAAATTTAATGAAAGAATTTATTGTAAGAAAATCTTTTTGACTATGACTTAGTTATAAAAGTTTTAAACTTCCCATTGTTGATGCTAAGGACTAAATGATCAAGCCAATGGTTATTTGAACTCAGGAACTTAGTGGATAATGCATATGGTGTTTGAGGTGAAAGATAGTGAGTTCAAGTATCTGTATGAATAGAAATACTGGGATGCAGAAATATCAGGCTGATGAGTTCTGAATACGAAGAAACGTGTGCCTTCAACTCTAGCGCCAGCCACTAGTCAACTATGCTTGAAAATCCCAGCTTTAAGTTGTAATAAGACAAAAACTGACATTAAATTGCCTTATATTCATAAATATTTGTTATTTAATATATAATCCTTGCTATTTTTTCGGGTTATAGGATAACTAGTTTTATACCATAAATGTTTAGATTTATTTATTCAAAACAAATAATACAATACAGTTTACTTTTATTTTCATTGACGGCGAGACTATAATTTATGGATGAACCAATCAAATTAAAGAAAATAGATCTTGGTTTTTGGCACAAAATTCATTCATCCATTTGGCTAAATAACGTTTTGATATTTCAGCTGATGTCAATTCGTGATGAAAACCCTAAATCTAATTTCTAACCGTAACTATCAACTATAAATCATAATATTCTAATTCTTCACACTAGTTTATAACTCTCATTTAGTTCTATTAAGTAGGTGGGCATTTTCAAGGTCGTCCATAAAATATAGTTTCACCTAGAAAGGTAGTTAGTAATAAACTTAATTACTGAATAAAAAAACGAAGCTCTTCATCAAGAAGCAATAAATCCATTATACGGAATGTCAGTCTGAAACATACCATGAAACTTAATTGAACGATATGTATAATCAAATGACTTTTTTTGGATTTTACTATTTATGAGATAGATTTCATACGTAGAAACATTTATTCATGTTTTGTATTACCAGCGTTTATGTTTCGAGTAATGTAATGGTTAAGAACCGATAGTTTTACTTACAATCTCAAAATATAACTTGCATTTTTTTAAAATACAATTCAAATTATCAGTATTTTTCTTTTACTAAAGTATTTCTTTTCAACTGACATAAATTATAAGGGAATTTCTGTTATTGATGGGGAACATTTTATATCCCTCTCTGTAAACGAGTATTTAATCAATTTCAGTTCTAAGGAAATCGATAAACTTAAATACAAAAACAGTTACGTGAAAATAAACATTGATAATAATTTTCATTGAATACAATCAAAAGAAACATTGAACCAGTAGTAATTAGTTTTAGATATTATCTAAGTTACAGTTTAAGGTAAAAAAAAATGATATATGAGTGTTTACCAAAACATAATGATATAATTCATTTACGATGTACAGATTCATTTACTTAGCTTTAATTAACGTTCTTTAGGTATGATGGGGCTAGTGAGTTCTCCAAATACATGCATGCCCGAATGGTTGAAAGACAACTAAGTTACTCTCTAGGACATCACTAAAGATGAGAACACGTTTTTTTAATCTATAGTTCTCATGTTTGAGTTAATTAACATAATTTTTGTGTTTTAATGGTAAGGAATTCATTTTTGTAACAGTGAATATTTTCACCCAAATACACATGCTAATGGATATTTGGACTTGGTAGCTAAATGAATAACACGTGATGGCATTTGAAGCGAAGGGTAATAGACTCGAGTTTTGGAGTGAACATCTACACTGTGAGGCAGGTGAATCCAGCTGACGCGTTCCATATAGGACGAAACGCGCGTCCTGGATTCCACTGCTAGCTGACATCGACCCCTGCTTAAAAGAAAGTGTCTTCTAGTGCTCAACATGAATAAGTTTAAAAATACAATCATATTGGTTGTTGGAAAACTTTAATTTTATTCAGTAAGATATCAATAAAAGGAAGGCTTATTCAAAATTTTATACCACAATTGCCTATTTACACACAAACAAGCTTATGTGTATCATTCATCGTCATTCAAATTAATTTTATGGAAAGTTAAAATGACATTCATCTTCTTCCCTGTTTCTTCACATTCATTACTGAAGATGTGAACATTTTACATTCTTTAATTCATGGAAGAATTATTTTATGTTTGTATTGATCGCATTTTTCGGAAAAAAAATTGTAGCTAGATCGGTACTGATGTAGTAAATTTCTATTACATAACAGACAATATTTGGACTGTTAATAAAAACTGAATGTAGAAATTTTATTTGACATTTATGTATACATATGTCTGATATAAAAATATTCAGTAGTATTTATAATTGATTATCCTGAAATATAGATGTAATCTAGTTTCTTATATATGTATCATTTACAAGATCCGGTCAAAGATTTCTAAAGGTTCATATCCTCAATTATATGGTGGATTGTAAACATTTTGGTCATTCACAGTCTATTTCTAAAGTTCTGTGTACAAAACATAACTGGCTTTAAAACTTTGGCTTCAACATAATTTTCTATCACATTTAGAAAAATATTTCTTCGTAATTATGGACATTATCTCCATGTTAGTGTTCAGTGCAGAATTCTGATCGATCTTGATTAGCAGTGTTACATTATGAGCCAAGTGGATAACTCTATAGTCTTAGATATAAATGTTAACGTAGAGATGCAGCTATATCTAGGTGATGAGTTTAATATAGGAAGAAATGCGTATATTTTAGTTCACTGTTAGTCGCAATCCATTTATACTTAGAATGTTTCTG